TGTTGATAAGGTTATAGTAACATTGGTAAACTCACAAATCCCTCGTAACAGTGTAAATTATCACAACTTCTGTTGACTATCAAGAATAAAATGAGAATTAAAAGCTATAAAAATTGGGTGGCACCTGTGGCTCAAAAGAGTAGGGTGCCGGCCCCATATACCAGAAGTGGTGGGTTCAAACCCAGCTCTGGCCAAAAAAACTGCAAAAAAAAGCTGTAAAAATTGTCATAGTCTTTCACCCAGTGAGACTCCTGAGGGCTTAGCTTTAGAGGAACAAGTTAAAAGAAAAACTACATGTACAAAATATTCACTGCAACATTATTTTTAGCAGTAATTTTTTTTTAATTGAGGGCTTGAGACTGTCCAAAACAAAAGAAGGATTAAATGAGTTAAGACACAACAACCCAGTGGAATTTTATGGAGTTACTAGAAATCATAATCATTAAAAAAAGAAATTATTAAGTATACATAGCTTAATAATAAAAAATATTTGTATTATTTGTAATATTTATCAAACATCTCTAGATCACAATTACCACTAGGTAAAATACACATTCTTATGACAAAGACCAAGGAGACATGAAGGAAAATACACAGCTGATATATTAAGAACTGCAGAATTGTGGCTGACATTTTATTTCAAAATTTTTCTTCACTAGATCATTGTTTGTCCATTAAAAATATTATGGGTTTAGTAGGAGTAGTGGTAAAGGCAGAAACAATGATAAGAAAGGGCAGAATCTGTTAATATACCTTTTAAACTATTAATAAAACCACTCCTTTCCCTTTGTCTTCTGACATTAGTAGGGCTTCATAGCCGTACCACACCACCACCTAGAAACACAGCTCATCACTCTATTTCAAGGGACTCTTCTTAGAACAAAAACCCAGACCCATGAAACAGTCCCAATCTGCCCTCTCTTGACCTAGTCCATCACTGTGACCTCAGATACTATGGCCTTCCCCAGCTGCCCAGGCCTGGCCTATCCTTCATGGGGAAACCCCAACTCCTTTGGCACAAGGGACCAGTTTCATGGAAGATAATTTTTCCAAGGACAGAGGTTACAGGGGTGGGGTATGGTTTAGATTCTCATAAGGAACGTACAACCTAGATCCCTCACATGTGGAGTTTACATTAGGGTTTCCACTTCTATGAGAATCTAATGTAGCGGTTCTCAATCTGTGGGTTGTGAACCCTTTGTAACAATGAAAATACATTGGGCATATCAGGTATTTACATTCCGATTCATAACAGTAGCAAAATTACAAAAATTTACAGTAGCAAAATTACAGTTATGAAGTAGCAATGAAAATAATTTTATGGTTGGGGGTCACCACAACATGAGGAACTGTAATAAGGGGTTGCAGCATTGGGAGGCATTAGGAAGGTTGAGAATCACTAACCTAATGTCACTCCTGATCTGACAGGAGGCAGAGCTCAGTCAGTGAAGCAGCAAAGTGAGGGATGAGGAGTGGCTGTAAATACAGATGAAGCTTTGCCGGCTCACCTCCTGCTGTGCCGCCCAGCATCTAACAGGCCATGAACCAGTACTGGTCCACAGCCCAGGGGGTGGGGCCTGCACTTTCACGGATCCAAAAGAATCAAATGTAAATAAAAGACTCACTGAGGGGTGGCGCCTGTGGCTGAAAGGAGTAGGGTGCCGGCCCCATATACTGGAGGTGGTGGGCTCAAACCCAGCCCCAGCCAAAGAACAAACAAACAACAAAAACCTGCAATATAAGGCTCACTGCACCACCTGCTTCAGGGAGCTGAGATTTCCCTGTCCACACCAAGCTGTAATTAGCAGGAGGCCATGCCAAAAGCAACAAAGAAGCTTCAAGGAAACCATGCTAAATACTCCCCCGTTTTTAACTACACACGTGTTCTTTTCTCTCACCTCCCCCCCCAACCTCTTCTCTGTATTATACTCTGAATGCTTCCGAAACCACCAGATTGCAGAAAGACACTAATAGCTACAGCTTAAGGTTCTCAGCTTGACTGAGACCACATGGTGAGCCAATATAGATCACTCTTGAGAAACAGAAAAGCTGTTCTTAGAACCAGAAGGAAATCAGATAATCCCAGCCCAGGTTACTTAATGGTTTTAAGATTGGAAATTCCTTCTGTGTGTGTGAGTGCAGGTGCACACACATTTTGAGGCAGTGACGATGCAAATGAGGCAAAAACAGCTACCAGGCTCTCTAAAGATAATTTACAAGAGCTCCTCCAGCCTGGACTGGTTTGAGGCACAGCGGCAAGGGCTAGTCCTATGCAGTTTAGGTTTAGCACTGTAATTCTCTCCTACCTTTAGGAAACTTCCCTCCTCAAAGAGTGTGCCTAATAATTGCTGTAACATCATACTCTGACCACTCACTCACTTAGGAAGAATTCTCCAGAGAACCAGCCCCTTCCCTCCCTGCCCTCCCCTCCCCTGCCCATTTGCATCCCTTCGGGGACCACCATGATACTCAGGGCTGCAGAGCTTTAGCCACACGTGTCTGTGCTTTAGCCTCTCCCCACAAGGGACTTACCTTCATGAGAGGCAACTCAATGTCTTCCGTCACAAGTGTTATTCCAGGAATTTCCTGTAGTGGGGAAAAATATATATGCACAACTGCTCACCAGATCAACTACCAACCAGCTCGAGCTTTCAGGAAGTGTGTCTGCACAGCCGAAGCTGTGGGCAGCTTCCAGTTTGCTAATCTCGACTTTAAATAAACCTTGGAGCATATAAATAACAGGGAACAGCCTATCTCTTGTCTCAGGAAGGGAAATATTCTTTCAAGTCACAATTTTAATAGCTGACAGAGTCTCTAAAGGAGAGGAGAAAACCATAAAGAAACGGAGAGCTGAGAGTGTATTTTTTAATGCATTTCTATTTAGGAACAAATGAGGCAAATGGCATTTGCACCAAACGTAATGATAAAGGGGGACCATTCTGTTATTTATACTCCTTCCTCCTCCTTCTTTCCCTTACATATATTATAGTTGGTCCCTGGCTCAAGAGAAGGAACCAAGAACAATTGGATTCTTCCATGACTTGAATGGAAAATTTTCCTACACCTCATTGTCCAGCTTCATTTCTGAAATAAGAGCTCCTGATGAAGCATTTCTGCAGCACTATCACAATGGTAATCGGAAGGTGAACAATTCCTATCAGGAAGTCCACACGATAACACCCTGCACTAACTAGGAAGCATTAAAGCAGAAACGTAATAAAAAGAAAAATTTTCAAAATTGCCCTTTCTCCACTGTTGTTTTGAAAAGTGTGTCTCTATGTGAGTTATGTAATTGGCCTCTCATCTGGTCAATTCAGCTTTCACTTCCTAAAAAAAAATGACATATGAGAAAATAATTAAGGAAGTGCTGTGTAGAAATAAAAATTGGCATTTGTTTAGACCTTAAATGACCTAGATTTAACTGATATGCAATTTTCCTGGGAAAAGGAGCACTGCAGTGATAGAGAAAGTTTTCAGAAAATTCAAGAAACCAAGTTCTGCATTGTGACAGTAGAAAGCCTCTGTGAAGAATCTATTGTGGGTTTCACTTATCACTACTCAGCAACAGAAGATACCTTTAAAAAGCATTACAATTTCACCACAGTTTCGGGTTAAGGATAGAACTTTAAAATAACTATAACAATAGCATTTTACAATAGTTACAATTGTTTACAAAGCATAATTCAGGATCATCTGTGCGTAAGAGCACCATATTTTCTAGTATCTTAAAAGTCCAAGTCAGTTTTCGCTCTATGGAAGGATAAAATGACTGTTTCCTACTGTGGCAACTTTTAATTAAGGTCATATAGCATTGAGAGCATTTGTGAATTAGAGAAAGGAAAATAAATGATTTACATCAGTGCTAAAGATAAGCACAGGCTCACAAACTTTCAGGATTACAAGGGAACTTCAAGGCAACCTACTCCAACCACAAGAAGTTTAAAGCAACATGGTAAACCTCAAGACAAGCTCAGTACCCAGAGTTTATACTGTGGCTTTGTGTTGTACTTCCTGATGTCACTCTGTGTATGTCCACAGTGGCACCTCTGCCCCACAGAGCCCTGAAAAATGTGTAAGTGCAGCTGTCTTCATGATGATATTCTCACACCATGTGCCATTAACACGTGCTCAGTCTTTCAACACCACCCTGGGAACTAGTGTGGTGGTACAGGCCCTGAGCACAGAACACACAGCAGTGGATGGTGCTGGGGGGGCGCTGAGATGTGCATTTCCTGACTCTGGGTGGTGTAACCTGCAGACTTCCTGCCACATTACCACAGAGTCTACATGTTCATTCGCAAGCCTTCTGAAAGAAAAATATGGGAGCCTAGAGAAGGACCAAGCTCAGGGCTTTCCCTTATAATTCTACAGTTAGGCACAAAAACCTAATAACTATTAATGAATAAAAGACAAGGGAAAAAAAGGTTGCCTTTAGAAAAACACCACCACTGTGCACATGTAAAATCTAGAAGGGAAATCAAACACGCTTGATAGTCTTTTTTAAGGACTGTATTCAGACATGGTCTAAATATAAAATGGGAAGTTTCACAATTTATCCTAGTATGTATTTTCCTATGTTACCTAAATTCAATTTCTTTTTCTAAATACGTTTTTGACACAAGCCTCTTGCTCAAACTTAAGCATGTAGTTCCGACATCTAACTATGAAAGGAGAGAGGCAGAACCTCTCTCAGGTGCAGCCTCTGAGAGCTACTACTCGCTAGTTCAGCAGAGCTCAGGGTACTGCACCAGGCTAAAGAGAACGAACAGTGTCTTAACTTACCATTTCCTAATTTATTTTATTTTATTATTTTTATTTTTGAGACAGAGTCATACTCAGTTGCCCTGAGTAGAGTGCCGTGGCACCCATCACACAAGCTCACGGCAACCTCAAACTCTTGGGCTCAAGTGATCCTCCTGCCTCAGCCTCCCTAGTAGCTGGGACTACAGGCACCCAACACAATGCCTGGCTATTTTTAGTGACAGGGTCTTGCTCTTACTCAGCCTGGTCTCAAACTCCTGAGCTCAAGCAATCCACCTGTCTCAGCCTCCCAGAGTGCTAGAATTACAAGCATGGGTCACCATGCCCCAGCTCTGTTTCCTAATTTAAAAGGAGAGATTCCAGACCAACAGGAAGAAAAGTTGAACGGAGTGGTATGCCTAAGACTGTTGGCTCTTGTTGATCTTGAAGTGCTGCAGTTATTATAGTTTTCTTTATGAGGCTAGGGAAAGGGGCCATGGAAATCCTGATTTACCCAACAAAACAGCCATGATTCAGCCATGCCTCATTTAGAAAAACCTAATAAATATTTCAATCCATTCTAGTCACTAGAAAAAAAAAAATACTAACATTTTATAAAAAATACCACAATAGAGGTTTAGTTCTGCCTGGTAGTAGCAGAAAGAGCAATAGATACCCTGTCTATCTATCTTTTCCTTTAACTTGACCATTTTTTATATAAATACTTTTGGTCAATAGCAGGGATTGACTATCACTTTTCTGCCAGAAAATTCCAGTTCCTTATAAAACAGAAATTAAATCACAATCTTAGCCGGGTACAGTGGCTCGCACCTATAATTCTAGCACTCTGGGAGGCCAAAGCAGGTGGATTGCTTGAGTTCAGGACTTTGACACCAGCCTAAGCAAGAGTAAGACCCCGTTTCTACTAAAAATAGAAAAAATAGCCAGGCATTGTAGCGAGGGCCTGTAGTCGCAGCTAACTCAGGATGCTGAGGTAGGAGGATCGCTTGAGCCCCAAGAGTTTGAGGTTGCTCTGAGCTATGATGCCAGGGCACTCTACCCAGAGTGACACAGTAAAAAAAAAACAAAAAAACAAAAAAAAAACTTTGGCTACTACAACAGGAATGGCATACGACTGATCCATAACCATGAATTGATTTTAATTGCATACAGAATACAAAGTTTTAACTTACTATATTCCAAGTGAGCACTGAGGAATATGGCAAAAGTTTATCCACGTTACTTGTTTTTGGATATACGCTCCAATATGAAGAAGCTGAGTAGATGTTTGAAAGATAAAAAAAAAAAAAGATGTGATTTAATAAGGAGGCAGTTGACAATTCAAGCAAACCAACAAAAATTTTCATTGCTTATCCCTCATCAAGAGGTTAACCATCATGCGTTTATCTACTGATGAAAATGTTTCTGCTTTTTACAATGACAATAATCTCAAAGCATTTTTATTTGGTACTATGTCTACCCAGATGACATTATACCATTTTATAGAAAAGCAGCCAACACAAAACTGGGCTGAAAAAGTTAATTTTACTGAAAAAAATCACTAATAAGGTCACAGAATCAAGATCCAGGCTCTTATCTCATCAGTCTCTGAACAGCCACTGCTTCTCAGGAAACCACAAGAGAATGAAATTTAATTAGCTGCTGACTATAATAGAGTCTGTTTTAAAATGCTCCTAAGCAGCATTGTGACAAGTTGAGGCAGTCATTATTAATTTATTGCTTTCCCTCAAGCAAAAGCATCAAGTACACAACTTAAGGTACAGCATCAGCACACTTACCAATGAGAAATTCCTGAATGAGGTCAAATGAATGGCAGGCAGAGGCCTTCTCAGAAACCCATTGAATAATCTTTAAAAAGTAAGACAGAACTCTGTTGGCATTTAAATCTACACGCCACCCCTGCCACCAAGGAAGTACAGATATATATGAACTTTTTAAATTCTATATCTATTTTGGAATTGCCTGAAAATATATTCACTTCTAAACTTTCTTCAGGATACATAATGCAAATCCAGGTGGGTAAAAAAACTAGATTACAAATAAGGTTCCTTTTTATACATCTTTTTAATAAGTGTCTTTGGCTGGTGTCCAAATAAACCTTCGACCCCATGTTTGTCTGTTTTTTGCTGGAACGGGTCATGTTATAGCAAAACACCAGTGGGAAGAGCTGTGAAAACAAAGCAGAACAAAACCACCAGGCTAGGAGGCAGCGGGCCTGGGTGTAGATCCCAGCTCAATCATCAGTGTGACTACCGTGTCCCAGCTCATCTCACAAGCACTACTCTACCTCCATCCCAAAGGAGGGATTGTCCCTGCTGTATATGAACAGCTGTCCCTCAGCCTCTGTAACCACCCTCACCTACACAGCAATGACACTCCCTATGTACTACCTCTGAACTGGCACACCTACCCATGATCACACTCACATTCTGTTCCCACCAACAAGCTGTTTTATTCCAAACCTATCTATGCCACTTATACTTGTTTTCACAATTAGGTAATTTAATAAAATATCATTGTAAACAAGTTAAATACATGTACAGATGCAAAAAGAGTGTTGGGTCAATAAAAGTTGAATGCTTTGGAAAGACTCAAAGGTAGGTCTCTGTGATACTTACTAAAAAACTAGGTGTAGGTTAGACAAATATAAAAGATTGAGCAAAAAATAGCTGATATTCACAGATTGCTTCAGAAGAGTCTTTAAATTATTGACCTTAGAAATAAAAATCTTTAAAAAGTAACAGGAAGTTGGCTTGGTGCCTGTAGCACAGTGGTTATGACTCCAGCTACATACACCGAGGCTGGCGGTTTTGAACCCTACCTGGGCCAGCTAAATAACAATGACAACTGCAACAAAAAATAGCCGGACATTGTGGCAGTTGCCTGTAGTCCTAGCTACTTGGGAGGCTGAGGCAAAAGAATCGCTTTAGCCCAAAAGCTTGAGATTGCTGTGAGCTATGACGCTACGGCACTCTACCAAGGCTGACATAGTGAGACTCTGTCTCAAAAAAAATAAAAAGTAGCAGAAAGTTAAAGATAACCCATTCCTAGTGGTTTTATGCAACAAAAATGACTCTGAACTCCAATTAGCCAGTCCACAAAGACCTTAATTTATATCACAAGGTCTTAAATTACATCATAATGAGCATTTTAATATTTTATATTAAAATAAAATGTCTAATGTATCTATTTAATTAAACAACCACCCATTGGTCCCATATAAGTCTGGTAAGGGAATTTCTCGGACTTCACAAGATAATTGCAAAAATTAAGTGACAGAGAATGTGTGAAAGTGTTTGCAAACCACAATGTGCAGTGCCAATGTGAGCTATCTTTATTAAAAATGCCATAAATATCTGCCACCAGATTTCATCCCTTTTGATAATTATGCATCAAATACAGACCAGGAGAAAAAGTAGACATTTGAGAGACTTGTTATTAACTGAGCATTTCCTTGAAATGTCAGTGATGTTTCTAAACATTTATTCACGACATGGAAAAGAAAATACTCAAAAAACAGACATACCCTCAGTCTAAGGTCTTATAAAGATCCATTAAAAAAACCACAAAAGAAGAATATGTTGCAGTTAAGAGACCACAAAGCTCGCTGTTACCAGATAGAAGTAACTTCTGATCATTTTCAACCATGAAATAAGCACATTCACTATTGTCTATTTGCTAATTATTAAACACGAGCAGCATTCGCACCTGGCCTTCCAGGAACCGTGGGCCTCGGCCACAGGACAGCACACAGTGCAATGCGGCCATCTTCTCACAGTCTCGGGAGGTGTTCCATAGGAAACATAATAAATAGGACTGGTTGAGGAATGCTCTGTAGAGCCTTCCGGAACAACAATCCAGGACCAGGGACTGTGACAGTGACTGTAAAGAGCCATGAGGTAGCATATCAACCATTTCATTATTTCCTGGCCAAAAAAAAAAAAAAAAATCAGATAATAAAAGAACCTCCCCTCACCCAAACTTGATATCAAAGTCAAGACAAATGCAAATGGGCCATATTTATAAGAGAAAAACTCTAGCCATACCTGTCTGAAACAAACTGTGGCAGATCAAGTCTGGATGCTGAATGTTAAGTAGATGGAGGAAATGACCAGGTAAGTAAACAGCCACATAATGGTCTGCGGGAGAGAAAGGTGTAAGTCGTCTTCATGGAGTAAGAGCCATAGGGTACAGATAAAGCCCAGAACTTTACACTATCCCTGTTTTTCTTTGAACTTCTCAAAACACAGAAGTCTTTACCAATGTAAAGCTGTCTGATGCCAACACACTTCATCTCACTAGCCAGATCTCATTTATTTCTATCTGGGGCTAATTTTTTCAGACATTTATGCATGGTTTTCTTAATTTATACTTTGTTTCTAAGTGAATTGTGGCTTATGGTGAATCTAAATGATCACTGGGAACAAACTGGAATTCAGACAACATGAATTACTCCTCAGTCTGATAGATTAGACATAGTTTGTAACGGAAATTTTCTTCATAATTTCTTCCAGTTTGGGGAAGGGCTAACATTCAGTTCCTCACGTTTGCCCACTCATCATCATCATCTTGTTTAGAGAACCTTTAAATTGATACTCATCAAAACAATCTCTGCAGAGATCCCGACACCATATGAAGTACTAATTTATTTCCTCACATAGCGAGCTGCCTAGAATTCATACCCTCAGCCCCTTCGGTCCTCACTTTGCTCAGTCCTCTCCCATCACGCTTTCCTAACCCTTTGTCATGACAGTAGACAGACTGGGAAAGAGGGATGGAAAAAGATATCAAAGAATCAGTCCCTGTACTAGCTATTTTTGTACCAAGAAAATTTGTACCCAGATTGAGACAAGGTATAAAAAAAATAGGTTTCTGGAGAACAGGAGGGTAAAAGTAGCCCTTGCCGGTCATTTTTCTAGGATCTTAGAAAAAACAGAAATTCACATGGTGGTGTGAATTTTATCTAGATGAAACATTTAGATTATAAATGAGCTAGCCTTCCTTCTCTAAGAAGCAACACAGGCTAATCATTTACACAGAAGGCATTCAATGTAAAAGGAAAGGAAAGGAAAGGAAACTCAAATGACTTGATTTATAAATGTCCTTTCAGTCAAAATGGATTAAATGATGTTAAGGTGCTTAGTACAAATGGTTGTGATAATCTTATTATTAGGGTAACACTTTAGTAGAAAAACCCAAGTAATACAGTGGGACATAGGAAAAAAGGTTTGGGTATCAAATGACCTACTTAACTCCTAGTTCTCTCACTTAGCCAGTTAACCAGGGAGGTGCTAGTCCCTGGGGGATGTGGGATTAGTCTGGGGTGTCACATCACTGGGATAAGGGTGGGAGGATTCCTGCTGGCATTGGTGAGTAGACTCAGAGATATTCAGTGCCTCAATGTGCAGGGCAGTCTCACCCGAAATGTCAGTTACCTGTGGCAGGCTGCATGACGGCCACTGAGGACACTCGTGTGCTCGTCCCCAAAGCCTGAAATTGTGTTGAGAGACCTCATAGGTGTGATTAGGATCTTGAGATAGGGAAAGTATCATGAATCATCCAGGGAGGACCCAATGGAAGCACAAAAGTCCTTATAAGAAGGGGAGATGTGACTACGGAAGAGAAGGTGACCATATGACAAGGAAAGTGATGGAGTCATGCGGCCACAAGCCAGGGAGTACTGGCCCCCAGGTGCG